ACGATGTCACAACGACACCAGCTGAACCGACAGTTACACCGCCGCGTCCCGTCGACGAGCGCATTGAGCACCGTGTAACTCCGAAAGACGAGACGGTCGAAGAGGAGAAGATCGTGCCGGTCGTGCCTGTAACACCGACGACGGTTGTCGTGGAAGAAGAGCACCTACGACAGGCTGTGCGCGATACCTTCGACATTGAGTCGGTTGATCAGCAGAAATTCACTCCTGTCCTCATCCCCGCAGATGTCACACCCACACAGCCGGGCATCAGTGCCGTCCGTGAAGAACTGGAACTGATCGGTAGTGAAAGGTTTGCACCGGAACTGGTGGCGCCGATCAGCGTGCACGATGTCACAACGACACCAGCTGAACCGACAGTTACACCGCCGCGTCCCGTCGACGAGCGCATTGAGCACCGTGTAACTCCGAAAGACGAGACGGTCGAAGAGGAGAAGATCGTGCCGGTCGTGCCTGTAACACCGACGACGGTTGTCGTGGAAGAAGAGCACCTACGACAGGCTGTGCGCGATACCTTCGACATTGAGTCGGTTGATCAGCAGAAATTCACTCCTGTCCTCATCCCGCAGATGTCACACCCACACAGCCGGGCATCAGTGCCGTCCGTGAAGAACTGGAACTGATCGGTAGTGAAAGGTTTGCACCGGAACTGGTGGCGCCGATCAGCGTGCACGATGTCACAACGACACCAGCTAAACCGACAGTTACACCGCCGCGTCCCGTCGACGAGCGCATTGAGCACCGTGTAACTCCGAAAGACGAGACGGTCGAAGAGGAGAAGATCGTGCCGGTCGTGCCTGTAACACCGACGACGGTTGTCGTGGAAGAAGAGCACCTACGACAGGCTGTGCGCGATACCTTCGACATTGAGTCGGTTGATCAGCAGAAATTCACTCCTGTCCTCATCCCCGCAGATGTCACACCACACAGCCGGGCATCAGTGCCGTCCGTGAAGAACTGGAACTGATCGGTAGTGAAAGGTTTGCACCGGAACTGGTGGCGCCGATCAGCGTGCACGATGTCACAACGACACCAGCTGAACCGACAGTTACACCGCCGCGTCCCGTCGACGAGCGCATTGAGCACCGTGTAACTCCGAAAGACGAGACGGTCGAAGAGGAGAAGATCGTGCCGGTCGTGCCTGTAACACCGACGACGGTTGTCGTGGAAGAAGAGCACCTACGACAGGCTGTGCGCGATACCTTCGACATTGAGTCGGTTGATCAGCAGAAATTCACTCCTGTCCTCATCCCCGCAGATGTCACACCCACACAGCCGGGCATCAGTGCCGTCCGTGAAGAACTGGAACTGATCGGTAGTGAAAGGTTTGCACCGGAACTGGTGGCGCCGATCAGCGTGCACGATGTCACAACGACACCAGCTGAACCGACAGTTACACCGCCGCGTCCCGTCGACGAGCGCATTGAGCACCGTGTAACTCCGAAAGACGAGACGGTCGAAGAGGAGAAGATCGTGCCGGTCGTGCCTGTAACACCGACGACGGTTGTCGTGGAAGAAGAGCACCTACGACAGGCTGTGCGCGATACCTTCGACATTGAGTCGGTTGATCAGCAGAAATTCACTCCTGTCCTCATCCCCGCAGATGTCACACCCACACAGCCGGGCATCAGTGCCGTCCGTGAAGAACTGGAACTGATCGGTAGTGAAAGGTTTGCACCGGAACTGGTGGCGCCGATCAGCGTGCACGATGTCACAACGACACCAGCTGAACCGACAGTTACACCGCCGCGTCCCGTCGACGAGCGCATTGAGCACCGTGTAACTCCGAAAGACGAGACGGTCGAAGAGGAGAAGATCGTGCCGGTCGTGCCTGTAACACCGACGACGGTTGTCGTGGAAGAAGAGCACCTACGACAGGCTGTGCGCGATACCTTCGACATTGAGTCGGTTGATCAGCAGAAATTCACTCCTGTCCTCATCCCCGCAGATGTCACACCCACACAGCCGGGCATCAGTGCCGTCCGTGAAGAACTGGAACTGATCGGTAGTGAAAGGTTTGCACCGGAACTGGTGGCGCCGATCAGCGTGCACGATGTCACAACGACACCAGCTGAACCGACAGTTACACCGCCGCGTCCCGTCGACGAGCGCATTGAGCACCGTGTAACTCCGAAAGACGAGACGGTCGAAGAGGAGAAGATCGTGCCGGTCGTGCCTGTAACACCGACGACGGTTGTCGTGGAAGAAGAGCACCTACGACAGGCTGTGCGCGATACCTTCGACATTGAGTCGGTTGATCAGCAGAAATTCACTCCTGTCCTCATCCCCGCAGATGTCACACCCACACAGCCGGGCATCAGTGCCGTCCGTGAAGAACTGGAACTGATCGGTAGTGAAAGGTTTGCACCGGAACTGGTGGCGCCGATCAGCGTGCACGATGTCACAACGACACCAGCTGAACCGACAGTTACACCGCCGCGTCCCGTCGACGAGCGCATTGAGCACCGTGTAACTCCGAAAGACGAGACGGTCGAAGAGGAGAAGATCGTGCCGGTCGTGCCTGTAACACCGACGACGGTTGTCGTGGAAGAAGAGCACCTACGACAGGCTGTGCGCGATACCTTCGACATTGAGTCGGTTGATCAGCAGAAATTCACTCCTGTCCTCATCCCGCAGATGTCACACCCACACAGCCGGGCATCAGTGCCGTCCGTGAAGAACTGGAACTGATCGGTAGTGAAAGGTTTGCACCGGAACGTGGTGCTGAACCGGTTGTCCGTGAAGAGCACCTACGACGGTCAGCCTGTGACGTCGCACCTACGCGATACCTTCGACATTGAGTCGGTTGATCAGCAGAAATTCACTCCTGTCCTCATCCCCGCAGATGTCACACCCACACAGCCGGGCATCAGTGCCGTCCGTGAAGAACTGGAACTGATCGGTAGTGAAAGGTTTGCACCGGAACTGGTGGCGCCGATCAGCGTGCACGATGTCACAACGACACCAGCTGAACCGACAGTTACACCGCCGCGTCCCGTCGACGAGCGCATTGAGCACCGTGTAACTCCGAAAGACGAGACGGTCGAAGAGGAGAAGATCGTGCCGGTCGTGCCTGTAACACCGACGACGGTTGTCGTGGAAGAAGAGCACCTACGACAGGCTGTGCGCGATACCTTCGACATTGAGTCGGTTGATCAGCAGAAATTCACTCCTGTCCTCATCCCGCAGATGTCACACCCACACAGCCGGGCATCAGTGCCGTCCGTGAAGAACTGGAACTGATCGGTAGTGAAAGGTTTGCACCGGAACTGGTGGCGCCGATCAGCGTGCACGATGTCACAACGACACCAGCTGAACCGACAGTTACACCGCCGCGTCCCGTCGACGAGCGCATTGAGCACCGTGTAACTCCGAAAGACGAGACGGTCGAAGAGGAGAAGATCGTGCCGGTCGTGCCTGTAACACCGACGACGGTTGTCGTGGAAGAAGAGCACCTACGACAGGCTGTGCGCGATACCTTCGACATTGAGTCGGTTGATCAGCAGAAATTCACTCCTGTCCTCATCCCCGCAGATGTCACACCCACACAGCCGGGCATCAGTGCCGTCCGTGAAGAACTGGAACTGATCGGTAGTGAAAGGTTTGCACCGGAACTGGTGGCGCCGATCAGCGTGCACGATGTCACAACGACACCAGCTGAACCGACAGTTACACCGCCGCGTCCCGTCGACGAGCGCATTGAGCACCGTGTAACTCCGAAAGACGAGACGGTCGAAGAGGAGAAGATCGTGCCGGTCGTGCCTGTAACACCGACGACGGTTGTCGTGGAAGAAGAGCACCTACGACAGGCTGTGCGCGATACCTTCGACATTGAGTCGGTTGATCAGCAGAAATTCACTCCTGTCCTCATCCCCGCAGATGTCACACCCACACAGCCGGGCATCAGTGCCGTCCGTGAAGAACTGGAACTGATCGGTAGTGAAAGGTTTGCACCGGAACTGGTGGCGCCGATCAGCGTGCACGATGTCACAACGACACCAGCTGAACCGACAGTTACACCGCCGCGTCCCGTCGACGAGCGCATTGAGCACCGTGTAACTCCGAAAGACGAGACGGTCGAAGAGGAGAAGATCGTGCCGGTCGTGCCTGTAACACCGACGACGGTTGTCGTGGAAGAAGAGCACCTACGACAGGCTGTGCGCGATACCTTCGACATTGAGTCGGTTGATCAGCAGAAATTCACTCCTGTCCTCATCCCCGCAGATGTCACACCCACACAGCCGGGCATCAGTGCCGTCCGTGAAGAACTGGAACTGATCGGTAGTGAAAGGTTTGCACCGGAACTGGTGGCGCCGATCAGCGTGCACGATGTCACAACGACACCAGCTGAACCGACAGTTACACCGCCGCGTCCCGTCGACGAGCGCATTGAGCACCGTGTAACTCCGAAAGACGAGACGGTCGAAGAGGAGAAGATCGTGCCGGTCGTGCCTGTAACACCGACGACGGTTGTCGTGGAAGAAGAGCACCTACGACAGGCTGTGCGCGATACCTTCGACATTGAGTCGGTTGATCAGCAGAAATTCACTCCTGTCCTCATCCCCGCAGATGTCACACCCACACAGCCGGGCATCAGTGCCGTCCGTGAAGAACTGGAACTGATCGGTAGTGAAAGGTTTGCACCGGAACTGGTGGCGCCGATCAGCGTGCACGATGTCACAACGACACCAGCTGAACCGACAGTTACACCGCCGCGTCCCGTCGACGAGCGCATTGAGCACCGTGTAACTCCGAAAGACGAGACGGTCGAAGAGGAGAAGATCGTGCCGGTCGTGCCTGTAACACCGACGACGGTTGTCGTGGAAGAAGAGCACCTACGACAGGCTGTGCGCGATACCTTCGACATTGAGTCGGTTGATCAGCAGAAATTCACTCCTGTCCTCATCCCCGCAGATGTCACACCCACACAGCCGGGCATCAGTGCCGTCCGTGAAGAACTGGAACTGATCGGTAGTGAAAGGTTTGCACCGGAACTGGTGGCGCCGATCAGCGTGCACGATGTCACAACGACACCAGCTGAACCGACAGTTACACCGCCGCGTCCCGTCGACGAGCGCATTGAGCACCGTGTAACTCCGAAAGACGAGACGGTCGAATTTTTTATTAGCAAGGATGTTTTACCGGGAAATTATATTGGTGCTGTCGCTACGTTGTCTTCCTCCCATATTCCTGACGGTCAGTCTACAAACGTTAAAGGGATTACTGTTTTTGACAGCGAAACTTCTGAATTCTCTGGCAGAATAGGTGAGTCAGGTTTGGTTTTCTGTTCCCTTTTTTCTTGTGATTTGTGAACTTCTTTTGTTATTTGTTTTGTGGGATGTTTGCTGCCAATGTGTTTGCTGGCAATGGGCAAAACTGTTTGCTGCCGATGTGTTAAAATCGAATTGTGTTGTAGGGATCTCAAATGCGTTCGAGATCATCTATCCTGGCGGCCGATTTTTGCCCGTGCGAATTTCTGGGCGGCGAGAGCAACCTGTCCAAAACCTGTCGACTTTGATTGTAACTGACCACGAGAAATTAGGTGAGTACTGTTCCTGATATGTATGTGTGTTATGAGTGCATCAAGATTGGCGCACAGGTGTTACTTGGTGTGTTTCTAAAAAATGATTTCAATATATTTTTATTGATTTTTCTGCTGTCTTTAGGAGACAAACTGCTTTCGGTATCGTCGGTGCGTCACTCTCTCGGTATCATACATCGCAACGGCCCGAAAGATTCTTTTTTTGAAACTGTTACTGAGATTATTGCCGACCGCACCTCAGATGCTTCCATAAATCTTTCGATACTTGATGAAGAAGAACCTTTTCGAATCAGTCACAATGTTCTTAACATACCGGACAGCTTGCAAGGTAGAGCCATTTGTACTTTATTAAGCACGTGACTATACAATATGTTATCCTACTATATGGCCTACAGAATCGACTGCTGAAATCCTTGTACCAGAAGATGAATACCTGCATTCTGCACCTATTTCTTTCAACTGGAAAAAGACCCTCCATCGAACTGGACCGAAGGACACCTTTTTCGAATCATTAACCGCATTGGTGCCCGAAAAAATCACTTTTCCGGAAGACGGCACCGTCGTTCCCTTTACAGTGGCTCCGGAAAGTGTTCTTGTCGAGAGATCACCGTTGCAACCGTTGCCATCTTTTGAGGTCACTCTTGTGGACGAGTCAGGAACACTGCACGCCCCATTAGAACATCTTCCAAGTTTGGAGGATTCTACGAGTTCAATGAACCTTTCTGGTTGGACCACTCTTTCGCGGGTGTCATCATCCAGTCGAATCAGTATTCGCACTAGCATTTTTGCTGCTGAGGAAGAATCAACTGACATGCTGGCGGCAGATGTTAACAGCAGCACGGAAATCTTATCACCAAGAATTCTCTCCCGAGGATCTAGCCGAGCATCCTACGTTATTCCGTCACCGGTGCCGCAAGAGCGGTTAAGTTCCGAAGCGCTTCGGCAATACCTGGAAACCGAAGCCGGTACGATCGAAAAGTGGCTGCAGGATGCTCAAGAAACGGACTCCATGCAGTATGCCGAAGAAGAAGAAAATGTACAGACAATTACCAGTACTGTAACGACAACGATTCAGTCGATTTCCACCGATGATTTCGAAACCATCAGTACGATGACTGTCCAGTCAGAGCGCTCCAACGTGTTCAGCTCTACTGATTCCCTGCGGACAGTTTCCTTTGACCCCGAAGAAGAATCCGAAACTGTGATTGTGACATCCACTTATGAAATGCGCGAAGAAGTTACAGAAGAATTTTCCATGCCTAGACTATCCGAAACCGCCACCGGGACGTTTGTCCGACCCTTGGAAATGCCTGTGCTACCTACGCGCAATATCAGTGTTCTATCATCCGAGAACAAAGCATCGACACGAACGGCGACAACCACAACGACCGTACATGAAGAACATTCTTGCCTGATTGCCTATCGTTACCGTTACGACATTGCTATCCGAAAGCTGCGCTCTTTGAAAAATATGGTTGTCAATCCGGAAGTGCAGTACATCGATCCAGACGTGCTGGAAACAGAACGCGAACGTTTTGCGGTAAGCTGCTTCAGCCAATCAAGTGCTAGTATTTTTGCTCTGTAAGAGCCGTCTGTTACGATTTATACACCCATTGCACTGCAAAATTTTAACTACTGCACATACGGTAGATTATTCATTTACCACATAATTGCAGTACCTATTGGATCGATTAATTCGCACCAACGGAGAACTTGGACGGCTGGATGACCTTTTCAGAGCTATTCTAGTAGTCGCACCGGACATCGACCTGCGATTATTCGAAGAAGAGCACAAGCAGCTGAATGCTTTATACATGCATTTGTTGACATACATCAGGAAAGTTTTGCGCCGTGAAAAATACCTGCGTAAACTACTGGAGGACTATCAGAAGGAACGCATGGAATTCAAGATGGACTTGCTTGACCAGTTGACGTATTTGAGGACAAACGAACAGTCAGAAGTAGGTGGTTGTCTAGAACGGTGTTATATCGGATGCAGAGATCGCATGTGTTTTGGCTATTTTAATTTATCGATTTCTTATTTCTCCAGGAAGAACAACAGATTCGTTTCGCAGCTGTCTTGGAGAGAGCCATGTACATAAAATATGCAACGTATCAAATTATGGTTCGGTCAACTCCGGAATTTGCCGCTAAGTTGGAAGAAGAGGTGGTTGAAACGCTCCTCATGCTTCGAGACGAACTTGCGGACCATGCCGGCATCGATAGCGTACGTGTTAAAATAGATCATGCGGTTTTTTAAGGGTTATGAGCTATTGTTAGTTGTCTCCGTTTTGCTATTTATCTACGCAAACTAAATTACTTCCAGTGCGGAACCTGTGATACCAAATATTTTATCGTCGCTAATATTTTAGGGATCGGTAGTGGAACACATTATGCGAGCAAGAGAAGTGGAATATTTCGAGAGACACCAGGCCATTGTAATACGCACGACCACCGACGGCGATAATTCCGAGACCGTTATGTCCACAACATCTTCCTCCACATCCCAGCTCACCATTTTACCCGCTCAGCCAGCGTAAGACTCGCGAAAATTATGTATGGTTTGCGATAAATTTGAAATGTGCTGACTGACAACTTTTCAGGCAACATCCCGTGTGGAATGCTGTGCGGAAAGCGCTACCAATGCAGACTCTAGCATTAGTCCTAATTGGATTTGCTTCACTTATTCCCATGGCCAACGATGACTACTCGTGCCTTTTCGACAACTATTTTGCCTCCTCGTCGATGAATCCGATGGTGCAGTTTCAAGGGACACCACCATTTTGAGTCCTGAACACTGCGTCTTGTGATAGTGAAGCTTGTACATATTCTCTGTGAAATCCAAAGGTTATCGGTTTGTGACAAAGAAAATGGGTGATTGAAAAGGGTGCCTTTGTTTTGTTATTAAGTATATTTATTAAGTATTTGTCCCAAATCACCACTTGATGTCCGGTTAGCAGAGTTGCAGTTCCGCAGCTAAACTGTGGAATTTTGTTAGTGTGTCAAGATGTTCTTAACTATTGCATACACAGTTCACTTATTAATAAATTACTAGTACGATATTCAGTGGCCCCTGTCGGAGGTTTTTGGTACGGTATGTGAGATTGCCTTTATGAAAACAGTAGTACAGAAGTTGTATCCGTATAGTGCAATTGCTCCCGAAACTTGCAGTAATTACGGAATATACGGTACCTTGCTTTCTTATGGCGATCAATGCAGTGTTACATAAAAAACAGTTCATTTAAAAGTCCCGCGAAAAGTATAGTATCGTACTGATATTAAAATTAATGTAACAACTCATTGATGTATGCTTTCGGGATAACCTTCAAAAAACTTTTGACATAAATTTGTACATAAATTGTATTTACGTTTATTGTACATAAATTTGAAAAAAGTAGCCTTGATAAAAAATAGCCCAATAAGTTCCAGTGATGTCCCGTTTGCAGTTTTTCATGTCCCGACCGCACTTTCACGATCAAAAACTTTCCCGCACCCGCTCCCGCACCCGAGCGCTCGGACCGTCCCGCAACCCGCTCCGATTCCCGATTTTCAATGAATCAATAATTTTAATAATTGTTACAAATCTATTACAAAATTTTTGTGACAAAGTTTCGTCGAAAAGTTTAATGGATACGCATTTTCTAGAAGACTAGACCTGCATGATAAATCTTACTTTTACTTTTCAAAAAAACTGAACTTGGCTCGTAATTATAACTTATACAATTGCCGTAAATATATTTTCTTTCGAAACCGACGTTTGCGTCACAGGAGCTACAGACTAGCCGCCGCTTATCAAATCGCTGTATCGCAACTGGATTCGCTTTGAATCAGAGACCCACCCTAAGACACCAACTTTCGCGCGAAGCTGAAAGCTGAGCACTTTTGGCTGCGAAAATTGCTAGAAATTCTATAAAAAATTTTTTAATTCAAAGAAATCCCGTGTTTTCCCGAGTAGCGGGCGGGCGTACTAATCAGGCTATATTCCCGACCGCACCCGATCCGAGCAGAAAGCCTCCCGCACCGCTTTCCGAGCAAAAGCGGGTGCGGGATGCGGGAAATTCCCGTGATTTACCGAGCCCGTGAAAAAAACGGGACATCACTGCCAATAACGCTGTACAACAACAGTCCGAAGCCATCGCAACAACATACGCCATTTACTGTAAACTGTAGGAAGTCTGCACAATACTGACAACAGTAGATTATTTGTTGCAGTTGCTTCGTTTGCATTTTCACTCGTATTTTGGAAACTGACCGCTTGAATTAGAGAACAGCAACAGTCAAAGCGGTTTTGGTGGTGTTTTGAAGCTGAAGGCAAATGAGTCAACCAAGAGCGAAATATAGATATTAGTATTCAGTAGCCATATTCCGCTGGCTGGGTTGGATTTATTTTCGAAGCACCCGGCAGTAATTACTTAAGTAGTTACGTTAATTAACGACATACAGTAGTAAATAACAAACACTAATACAGAACAGTACATGAACATATTTTTGTTGCTGAATTAATCTTCAATCAATTGTTTTTCAAGTAAGCCCCTAATTTCAAATTCTCAGAGTAAATTATTTTGAAGCTACGGTCAAGGTACACCTTGCTACTGTTTAAACTTAATTACGATACACTTCCACAGAGTGGAAGTGCGATAACAGTAAGTGTATCAGTGCGTGCAGTCAACGACTCAACACTATGCGAAACAATATTATTACAGTAACCGTACAGTACGGTTTAAACAAACAACAAACGAGCAATCATTTATCTTACAATTAACGAAATACGTAAACCAAATGCAACGCAAAAGCAACAGTTTCGCATAAGGCCTGAGTCGCCTGACCAAGCAAGTATCGAGTTTATTAATGAATCAAGTAACAAAAATATGCATCAAGACTCGTGATTATCTTTTCTCCATTCAATTATCCGTCATCATCGATGTCACCACAAAAAGAACAACATTAGCGATCATACAAGAAAAAACAACAAGAAAAGCTTCCGTGGTTCTCACAAACTAAGTAAAGATCATACATCGCAGCCGACTGGAATGAGCCACCAAGCTGGTTGCCGTCACATTTTAGGAGAACAAAACAGCCCAGCGGCTTATCGGCATCCAGAAATATCACGATTTCCAAATTGAGGAAAAGGAAGGAAGCGGTGCCGATTCATATTCACAGTTTTATCCACAGAAACGTCAGTAAGCAGGATCGGAAACACGAATCCCGAACAAACAACGTCTCGCTGTCCCAAAGTCGTTATGGTAACACTTCTTGCAGTAACATCGTTCAGCAGTAGTCTGGTGCACGGTCTGCACTGAGATTGAACGCAGTCGCTCTCTCCGCAGCGCATTCCGTATGATTTTCCGGCCCTTTTAATGCTCAGTCTCCACAACTCCACGAGGTGGTGCAGCATGCCATTCGAAGCGTTGTCGTCGTCTGTTGAGTTGCCATGCACATATTCGGACAGCCAAACATACACATCTCGTCAGTCTTGGCAATATGAATACAATAAATCGATCTCATGACGATATGCCGTGTCAGTTGTTTCTAATATCATTGGAAGGTTGTTCAGTCGTGAATCGTTCATAATCAGCTTGAAACCTTCTCGACCGATCCAACCTGCAAGCCAAAGACACAGAAACCAGTTAGCCGCACTGCAATCACTTTATCAGCAATGCACATCACCCTCAAGGGTCTCCTAGCTCAAATAAAACTAAAAGTAAGTATTACACAACTATTATAGGAGGTCGCGACTCACAAGACCTTACCGTGTTTATTTCACTGCCGAATGCCGATTACGTGCTATCAATACGAACGCACAGAATTTCGAAATCAGTTATTACATGCTTAGTTTAAAAAACAGCTGCAACAATTCGCAAAAATTTTACTTCGATTGCAATCGTGTGAAAAAATGTCACAAAATTTGCGCTTAAAACATCTACGCTCCATATCTGGGAAATATTTTGCGTTTAACGTACCATTGCCAATCGGAGCATGGCGATCAAGATGAGATCCCACCGGCAATTCACTGTCGTTTAAATGCACTGCTCTCAGTTTATCCAATCCGATCTGCTCATCAAATTCCTTCAGATACTTCTCCCATCCATCCCGCTTTGTAATGTCGTTACCAGCAGAATATACATGGCAGGTATCTAGACATACGCCCAATCGATTCTTATCGTGGACGCGGGACATGATTTCTTTCAGCTCGGATAATTTCCCGCCAACCGTGTAGCCTTGACAGCACATGGTCTCCAGCAATAATGTCACGTCGCTCGTTTTCGACAGCACCTCGTTGAGGGAATCCACAATCCGTTCTATGCACTCGTTAACCGTGATGCGCCCGCATGTCGATCCTGGATGAATGTTGTAATATTTTATGCCCAGCCGCTCACAGCGCTGCATTTCGTCGATCATCGATACCCTTGACTTGTTTAGCACATCCGGCGAGGGCGATCCGGGATTGATCAGGTAACTACCATGGCAAACAACCTTATCCGCCTGAATACACGAGCGAATCAGTTTGTCCTTGTATTTTCTTACGGCATCGTCCGATAAGGGGGTGGCCGTCCACCGACGGGCACTGCGCACGAACAGGCCGAGGGCGCGCGCCCCCATCTCCAAGGCCAACTGCACGGCGCGCTGTGGTCCACCTTGTGTGGTGGTGATCTGGGCGCCGACGTATTTCAGGGATTTGTTGCTCTGCGGTTTAGCCGGTACTATGGCAGTGCTGCTGGCTGACAATATGGTCCCACTGCTGGCGCTGCTCGTGCTGGCTGTTTCCAGCGGTGATGACTGGGAACTGCCATTATGCAGAGACTCGTCACTTACGAGGGCGCACTGCGAGTATAAGGATGCAAAGCCGCTATCCGGCACGCTACGCTTGTTGGGCGGAGGCTGCTGGTACAATAAATCATGTGTGTGAAACGACGACGGTATTGATGAGGATTCCTGAGCGCTCTGAGGTTCTTTTCGCTTCCGACTCGTGGAGCTGGAGGCAGCTGGGTTAAGAAATACCAAATTGGGTTCCAATACTGACGCCGTCATGTTAAACTGAAAGGGAGACGGCACTGTGGGTGTTGATAGAGATCCACTAATATTCTGCAAAGCGAAAACCCGCTGTTACCACCGATTAGACAAATTGAGTAGCATAGTCAGAGTGCTAAAGGCACGAAATTAAAACGCAGATTCCATGCAGTCATGTTATCATTGTTGTCGTGGTGAAACTTCGCTACAGAATAACGATGCACTGTAAATACCCTAGCTACGATTTACTCGTCGAGGCTAAAGGCAGCCGCAACTTGCAATCAAGATGAACGCACCAGCGCAGGATGTTACTTATCACTGCACATTAGAAGCGCTGAACAGTGTGCTTAGTGTGTAACACGGTAATGTCAGAATACCGCCCTACACGTGACGCAGCAGATGGAAAGTCATGGTGAAACACGACTGCCGAACAACGACGCATACGCCGCGAAAATGCGGAACGCCAGCATTTGCATGATCAATCTCGACGAAATCGCTTCGTTGAAAAACGTAAAACGTGCAACATCCAACTAATAGTAAATCTTAACCCACTTACAGACTTATTCAAGATGTATAGACAGCGCCATATTTAACTCATTGTCAGTACATACGCATCGTGAAAAAATTAATAGTTACATAGTTTAAACAAATATCGGCTAGTTGATTATTCACCAGCAAATGTTGCAGTACAGTTAATGTTAATGTAATAATATACCTAGTATTACTAAATTTAGTTGTATTCCATAACAAAAATTATTGAAAGGAAGAAGCAAAATAAAGATAAAGGACTGCTCCATATCGCAAACGACTTACGAAATACAAACCTGTAAAGTACTACGAGTATCCGATTATTCCGTATCACCGTAGTCGGTATCACCGAAACAAAGCGAGGCAACGAGTTTGTATGTCTTTAGTATGACCTTCGTGCCTTAATAATTTCATTTGATGCTACACAGCAAAAATCCTCCAGTTTCAGAGAGTAGGTAATTATCTAAGAAAAAATCTTTAACATCATTAGAAACTAAAACCGCCGATTTGAAACCGGCATGTATTTTTTGACATTTTAAACCGGTAGTCGTCGTTACAACATACAGTAATTATAGCTAACGCGTGCGAAGCGTAGCAAAAAATAAGATTCAAATATACATTTTTATTGTAAAATGAATCATGCAGCCTTAGGACTGCAATAATTACTACGGTATAATGCACTGTATAAGTATTAGTATTCACAAGTCAGTGATGCTTGTACCGGTACTGAGTATTTTCACTGTAGCGTCTGCAGCTTCATACTAGAAGTGAAAGAAGTACCGTACGTACATAATAAACGTAGGATGCGAAGTTCGATCCACTTGTTTATTATACCCATTCCGCTTATAGAAAAACAAATAAAATCACATCGAAGTTCACTCAATCAGCACAAAACAGCCTCGGGAGGTCTAAGAACAGAGAACAACTGATCTAAATTAATTAAATTAACTGATCCACTTAATAACTATCTTAAAAATCCAACAGATCGGGAAAGTTACATTAACAAAAACAAGATAGCTTGTAAAATAAATCCTGTAGTAAAAATACAGATTTATGTCTCCTTTAAATACAGCAGCACAGAAACGCTGCAATGTGTAGTAGCACCGTGCTACCAGCACGATGGTAACAGCATTAACAAGCGCATTTTCTACCCTATTGGTAGTCTTTGTCTCGGACAAGTCGAAAATTCAGTTTGGACTGAATCTGACGCTGTGTCCGGACTTGTCCTCACTCTTCGCATGCAGTGTTTGCTTCCCCATTAAATGGTGCAATGGCATATGCGAACTTGCACATATAGGCCTACCATTGTGGATTGTGCAGATCTTTGACCATCGGTGTCGCATGATTTCGGTAATTCGAAAAGCCCAAGCCAAACCAGGGAAAACATCCCACCCAACACAATACAAAGTAATGCACAAATACCGGCCAACTGCCAACCATCCTTTTAGAAAAATGCTGCTGATTTTCATATATTTACAGTACTGACCTCATGGTCAGTGTTTAACATAAAACACAGCCATACAAAGAAAAATCTGCAATAATAATTATTATCGTAAAGGATAGCTATCAATTTAAAATAATTGACTAAATCAAAATTGCTTTATGATAACTGTTTATCCATATTTCAGGTGGAACGATTGCGAATCCTTTACACTTTTCTGTAGCCAATAGTTATTCTTTCTTTCTACAACATTCAGGTACATCCTTACAGAAAACCATAAAACAGCACGGTACACAAGGTGTGCCACAAAACAGCAAAATATGTATGTTCTTCTGTCAAGTAAGAAACGCCATTTAATACTGTGGAAAATACTGTGGAAGTGCTTGTCTGACAATGGTTTTGTGACTGACAATGAGCGCAAACGGCAAAGCGCACGCAAAATCTGTTGCTGCAACTGTACAGTGCAACTACAAGTACAAAAGTAACATTATAAATTGTTTATACTGAATATTACAGTAGTACGACATGACGGTAATTCCAACAGAATTAATAAACTACTGTATATAGGGGTAGAATCTTGTGTCGAACATATCGCAGGTCGACAACTGTTACACAATTGCAAAAACATCTTTAAATTAACCATTAAATTAAATTAATTAGCTATGTAATCCTGTATGGAAAATGCCCAACTAACAACACTTCAAATCGATGCCTGGTTGTAAGCAAACGCTAAAACAGTAAACACTAAACATCTTGTGACTTCCAAATCCAATGCAGACTACGGGGACATCAGTCCATCACCATGCAACTTAAAGGCCATCACTTATTAATTTGTAAACACCGTAAGCAACACACTAACAAAAAAACGGTAAAGTATGAACTTTGAATGAACTGACTTGTGAGTAGTGAGGCAGTAGCGTTAATAATGCAGTTTACATTAACGAGCTGATCCTGATCAGCGAAGGCGAGAATCGTAACAATACTTATCAGCAAAACTTTAGAAACTGCAATTTGCTACATGTCCAATTCTTTGCAGTTCGCCCACAGCCACAGGTATACCCAGGTAAACTAACCGTGGTAACCCGGAATCATACCAACATCCAAACAATCTCAATCTCAAGAGAAACTATGCAACTCGATCACATTTTAAAATCTCTTCTTTAAAATTAATATTAAAAAATTTTAAAAAACAAGCAATGTACAAAGGAAATGATAACATTTTCCGAAATGCGCGCAGGATGCCCCCAGTAATACTAATACCAAACTGACAAGATTGAAGACGTGTTGTTGTTGCATAAATATACAGCGTAGTAGACAAGATGTGTGCGGCAGACTTCTTCCAGTTCCCAAGCACTGGAAAACAACGGATATTTTTCTGAATTAGTAAAATAAGCACAGTTTAATAATAAGGCTGTACCGAAATTCTTCACTATTCATAATTACCGTAACTTTTCTCATACAGCTCCACACAATCAAACAATCGGTCGCATTAACATCAGCGAAAACTATACTCGAGCGCACAAAACACTGGCCCCCAGGTTCGACATTCCGGCTGAACAAGCATGTACGATAAACGTCTAACACGGTCTGTCTTCATGTTCCGCTGTCTAAGTAGCAAATCCTCCGCTTTATATCTGTACATTACACTTCCTAGTTCCTTCCTCAAACGGCATAAACATCTAAATTCTTGGGTCAAAATTTAACCTAACATTCAGTTAACACAAGTGAGATTTCACAAAATGAAATAATTCCTATTTGCCAATGTCATCATAGCATATTTTCCATACAGCCACCATGGTACTTTGTACGCGACTGATAAAATATTTTCTGGATACAAATGGCAACAACCCCGCGTGTGCACACAAAAGTACAGTAGAAGCTAAGAAGTACTTTAAGTCTTTAATCCTTCGACTCGTATAGTCATACTCGCGAATGCGTTTCGATGTTTTTAATACAGTACGAGTATTAAATATTACAGTAACAATTTAAGTCTCCAGTACACCTGTAACCTCAATCTGCAACGGCGTGCCACGTACCTTATAATTTAAAATATTTTATATTCAAACTGGTACTTAAAATTTCTATCGGAGATCGAAGAATTGATTGCCAAAGCCCCACACTAAAACTTACCACAGCCTGAGGCACAGCAAATGCAGGGGATGTTTTCTTTTTCGCAACGGCTCCACGCGAACGATTCATGTCAAAGGAGAAGAAGAGACTTAAGGTTTTCGCACAATCCACACCACATCCGGATCTCCACGCGATTCGTGATCCAGTTCCGTGGTGCAAAACGGCGAATCAAGCAAAACTCGTCAAAAGTGTCAAAACACTGAAAAAGAAGAGATCTTAATCATCTTATGATTCTTATCGGGATAAATAACTTATTTGTAATTAATAATTAGAAATATACGAGTATCGAAGAAACTGCAGACTTCACTTACCTCGCGACTCGCGTCACACACTCACGGGGTGTCTGCTGATCTGGCAGTTGCGAATCACATTATTACGCTGTCGTCTTTGACTGCAGCTGTGGTCTGGTGTATACTTCTGCCTGCTGCTAGTGGTGTTCACTTCTTCTGGGACGAGATTCGAAAGGGAACAAATTCAAAGCAACTACAAATCTACTATCTTCCAATTAAGTTCTAACTATCTACTTCAAACAGAACATATTTTTCAAATAGCTATCCGTGGCCTGATTAATCGCAAAGAGTAAAACGAGCTCACGAGTATTCTCTCTTCGATGATGACTGGAAAGTAGAAAGTATTCAAAGTACTAAGCGTGATCTCGCTGAGCTGAAATCAGTTGCTTGCAGTTGCAGCACACGGTGAAACTACTGTACTAAAAGGCCTCGTCCCGAATTCGAAGCGAATCTCGTTGCGATACAGCAACTCCACCTCGCGAGGTGGCTTCGCGTACCGTATCTGTAGGCGTGGCCACTGCATACAGCCACCTCGTGCGGTTGAGCAACCGTACCATAGCGAGATTCGCTTTGAAATCGGGACGAAGCCTAAAACGAACCATGTGGCTCCAGTTTTACGAACTGGCAGTGGCAACGCGCAATGCGAGCAAGCTGTCTCACTACTACTGTCTAGTGGCTGTAGCAGCGAGGGCAATAATTCGGCAGGGACAGTTACTTATTAGAAAGCCACTAGCTGTGGCGCTGCCGCTGCCACACGATGTACAAATGTGCGCATCGTGCACCATAATTTACTACAGGCAGGCAGGTCTACAGAATATCTGGCAGTAAGTTACTTAGAAAACCGCTAAATGCTGAATATGACCGTCTGACGAAACAAAAAAGGTGTTGAAGTTGGGTACAGTACTCGTACACTGGTGGAGGTAGAGTGCGGTCCGGCTCCAAGTTGTAGGACGAAAGGAAGGATCTGGGAAAAATTCTTTGCAGCTGTTATTAGCCTGTTCGGAGTTCGGACCACGGTACCTGTTACTATTAAAGTTACTGTACCTAAATTTGCAAATATAATATAGATATAACGCAGGTACGATATAGGCAGTTACAGTACTACCGGTATCTATGTAGTATCACTAGTATGTACCATGGACTACTCGAGTACAATATACTGACATGGGATGTGACTTGTGTGTGCACGATGGCCCTCTCCCATATTGCAGCAACATCCACCCAAGCTGGCGCAGCAGCGGCACAGGCCGAACGGAAGAAAACCGCGAAGTACCAGAACATCGCCCAGGACTACCTGTTCCGTGCAGTGGGCGTGGAGACAGTAGGACCACTCGGACCGGAAGCCTCTCAGCTGATCAGTGAACTGGGCAAGATGATATGGCAGGAAACAGGCGAGATACGTGCAACTGAGTATCTGCGCCAGAGGTTCAGCATCGAAATCCAGCGTGGAAACGCCGCATCCGTCCTGGGAACGGCACCAGCTTCGGCTGATTTATATCAAATGTTCTCAGTGATTCGGGCGCCTGTTTCTGCTGTCTGTTGATGCTGTGTGATGCTACTGTTTTTCATTTGTTTAATTGATAGCTTTTGTGAATGATTAAAGTGGATATACTATATATCTATAGATATATTTTATCAATTTTTATGTTCCAAACTGCTAATATTATATCACACATAGTCTTGTTCCTCGCGTTTTCTTAACCCGGAAGTTGTAGTGGGCCTCCTGGTCCCGTAAATGACTTCAATAATAGCCCTTTTCTTACTACGGTAAAAAAAGGGAGACAGTATAAATTTTTCAAAAAACTCTTGCAAAAATAGAAGGCTGTTTGTTATCGGAGCAAGGTTTTTGGGACACATACGAGTGTTTCTCACGCCTCGTTCTTCGGCAGATATCTATATATTTCTTATTTGGTACGTTGTAGTCTTGGCCCTGAGCCGGTCTCATGGTCAGTTTCAAATTCCTGCCGGCGGGCGCAGTAACATACCTGCGAGTCGCTAACATGCCCGAGTAAAACAGTTTGTAAAAAATACGTTAGCTAAACGTTAGTTAAAGGCCAAAAGTTGAACATGTTCGAATTTGGCCTTTAACTAACGTTTAGCTAACGTATTTTTTACAAACTGTTTTACTCTGGTGGAAAATCAAGCAGTAAATTACAGCTATACAGCAGTCAGTACTAGACAAGAAAAGAAAATAATACAATGCAATTTGAGTGACTATAGTATTAACAGCTAATTTTAGCTAAAATTTAGCTATTATTTAATAATTTACTAAATTTAGGTATTATTTAATAATACCTTTGGTAGTGGCAACCACCTTGTGCGGCATTTTCGTGAACTGCGAAAACTGAAAATAGTGAATACATCGCGAATCGCGATTCACTTTACTGAGTTTATTCTACCTGGCTACCAGTCAAGCTTGCCAAGGTGCCTCTTTCAAGTCTTTTGTCGGAAATTGGTACTGTAACTAAATTCTAAAAACTCTAAAATTGTATACTTCAATTCCATTGAAATTTCAAACTTATCGGGCTGTTGATTTGATTTGGAAACTGATATTGAAAGTGACTCTGAGTAAGTGTTAGAGCTATGTAATTAGAAGGCCATTAGTACTGTACTTTTGAATCACATAATGACATATACATAGATATGAGAGTCTTTTAGGGCAGATGAATTAATTTGCACTAGAGTTCGTAAGTCGTCAAAATGACGAAGCGTAACGATAGTTAACGAAGCGGTTCGTCAAGCTTCGCGCATGTTTTCAGGGTCAAAAGACACAGCTTCGTTAAGCTTCGTTATATCAACTTTGATTTTCGCTTCGTTTAGTTATTACTGCTACTTTCGTTCACTAAAAATTTCGCTATTTTTTCGTATTTTTTTTTAAATTTCTGGCAGATTTTAAGCAAATCTGTCCGTCAGCTTCGCGCTTCGCGCGAACTTAAGCTATTTTCTTTAATTTTTCCATAATTATTGGCTTCGACAGTTTTTTCCTGGTTTGAAGTGCACATGAGCAAAATTTAGACTCAGTTTCAGTGAGCATTTTTTCTTTTAAAATTTTTCGCTCAGTTTCGTTTTTTCGTAAACAAAGTATTTTTCGCTATCGCCAAGTTTCGTTACATGGTCTGGTAAAATCGCTAAGTTTCGTTATTATTTTCCCAAATTTACAAACAGTTAAGTTTCGTCACGTTTTTCCAAAAGGCTGAAAATTTCCGTTTCGCTACTGAATTCTTGACGATTTGCGAACTCTAATTTGCACCGAGCGCGAAGCGCGAGGTGCTGCAATAAGTCTTCGTCAACGACGTCAAGAGCATAAAATTTGTCTGAAGCCACGAAGAGCGTACGTCACGCTTTTCCAATTCCACAATCCCAATACCATTTCCCAGCGGTACTGGCGCTCGCGCTCGTGCAATAAAGTGGTTCGCAACCACCGCTAGTACGCGGCGACAAGGCGTATTACCTCTGGATGTGGTAGCTGTTACTTCCGTTAGCCTGTACATGCCTGCATGATGTCTTTGGTCACTCTTTTCATCTTTGCTATCAAATCCTGCTACGTCAATCGTATGATTTTGCATAAGTGCTGTAAATAATTTCGCTTGGATGATAAATTAAAAATGATTTCACAGACAATGAAAATTCCAAAAATACAGCCCTGCTACGCCAAGTTCGGACACTTTGCTCGAAAAATTATCACAAGTCACCCGTTAACAATTAGAATCGCATTTCATTTTTATATGATCAGCGTATGTGTCCAGCAACTTTTGCATTTGAAGTTTTTACGCTGAAAGCATGCCTCGAGTTACAGTGAGGTTGAAACTAGAATGGACCAGCTTCCAAAAACGGCTCGACTCATCTGTTCTGGGATGCATCCCCCTTTTTACAATTCGTTTAAAAATTCCACACCTTTTCTAGTCTAAATCAGTTAATTTTATGGTGTTTGCCATTCAATTTTCTTGCGGATGATGCCTAACAGAGCCCTGTTTCTACCAAGACTACGTGACCTTTTGCAGCATTCCTGCGGGCACCGTCAAAATGTTGGATAACCTTTTCCCGGCGCTCGCCGTACAGCCGTGAGCGGTCGTAGATGTCTAATCTTGATAAAATCTGGTTTACAGATGACTTTGCGTCTACTTCAGGTTTTTCATTCCCACAAAAAACCCGATACGTTTAGTCCCAACGAATTATGATATCAATCATAACATTTTTTAGACACTGCTTTGTTAGGTTTTTCTTCCAGTTGTCTGGCACTTTCATCTTCCCATCTGTGTGGCAGATAGCTGTCGATTCATAAAAATCGTGTAGTTTGACCCATGTTTTACCCATGGAAACGGTCAACCTTCAAATCATCTACATCTGTACGCTAGGCAACCGCGTTCTTCATCGGGTGGGTTATAACATACAAGTCTATGGGAGACGAACTTTGGTTTGAGATTACCTCGAGGACCGATTGCGCAGACCTGAGTTGTTGAACTGTAACGAACACCTTTCGGGCAGATATACAGTTTCCGGAACAGTTCACTTAAAAATTCAGGTTCGTGAAGTTTCTAGAGGGGCAGTTATAAGCACCCTAAAAACCAACATAGCCCCACCCACTTAATCACCGCCTACCTGCTCAGTAACATGTCGGAAGATTCTATTTTTGGTATCATTAGATCCGCAACAAAAAGTTATACTAGAAAAGTGTTAAAAGAAAACATAATGACGAAGAAACTTATTTTTAAATTTATTTTATGTAACTGTCCGAACTTGGCGTAGCAGGGCTGTAAATCAGGCTGCACCTGCACCATTAAGTACTGCAGTAGCTATTTCCACTGTTTCGACATCCGGAGGTAGTATGCCTTGTCGCCGTCACCCGCATTGCACTTGGCCAATGTAGCAACGAACACCAGCGCGCTCAACGCATTGGCAGTGCAGTCGCATGTCCTTACTCGCATCTAATTACTGTAATAATTAATAAGAAAATAATAGATAAGAAAAGGCCGGATGTGATCACCCTCATCCCGTGGAAGCGCGGAAAACCGCTGGCAGTGGATGTGACCTGCGTGGACACGCTGGCGGCCTCGTACATCGACCGCACTTCCGTGAACGCCGGCGCAGCAGCCGAACTTGCTGAAAGAAAGAAACTAGCGAAACACGCTTGGATGCAAACAAGATACGATTTCGTTGCTGCAGCCTTCGAAATTTACGGACCTTTTGGAGACGGTACTAAAAAGCTAGTAGAAACGGTTGGAAACGGTATAGCGACTTCAACTGGCCAAAAGCGGGCGAAAGAGTTTTTTAAACAGCGAATATCTATGCAAATACAGCGGGGAAACGCGATTTGTGTAATGGGTACGATCCCCGATCAGGATAGCATAGAGGAAGTGTTTCTTTTGTAAACGCTGTTTTGTTTTGTTCTGGTGCATAGTTTGTACTCGTACCATGATACTTATTAAAGGTACTTTTGAAAAAATTACTGTAATCGTCCCGTGGTTGTAGTTAACGATGTAGACTGTAGATAATGGGGTTTTTTGTTTTAATATTTGTTTTAACGTTATGGTTTGTTATGATCATAGAACAGATTCAGAGTTAGGCCGAAACTGTAATTTCAGTGCCACTTCAGGTAAATATCACATTAGTCCGGTTCAAAATAGACCGGAAATTTAGTAAAT